GGCGAAATATTTATGTAAGTGGTCAGTCATGGTCACTGACCATGACAGACCATCAGGCTTATGTTTAAAAAAAGTTTAGGCCCAATTTCTAAAAGATGAACATACTCTCACAATTTCTGAAAATAAAATAAATTCATATCCAAAGAACATGTGTACGTTTTTATAGATTTTATTACATAAAATATAACATATTACAATCTAACCTTTTTGGCATGAGGAGACGGCTATCTATCGATCAGAGCTTGCGTAATTGTATACCAAAGAAACGATTACGTATTTGAATAAAACAAAATATGAAATAGTCAGTTGTTTAATATAAAGGAAGTTAAAAAAACTTATAACAATATCTTACCAACTTATCTCCCTAAAATTCTACTGGGCATAGGATAAATAAGGGACTGGGAGATTTGGATATGAGATATGGGATCAACCCCATTTCCAAACCGACCGTACATAATTGCTTCATCCTATGCGTCTCCCAAGCACATCTCACAAGTATGTAAAGGGAAAACTCAAAACTTATGTCACCTTTCAGGGACTCATTTGCCCCCCCCCCCAAAGAAAATATATTTAACTGAAAATATTCCACTTCAAATTCGACAAGCTTTTGCATTTTTAAATTAAGCAATCACGGTCTTGAGATTGAAAAGGGTAGATTGAAAAACAAAAATTTACATATTGTACTGTACTTTATTGTACGTTACATATATTAGTGTGAAAGATGTAATGAACTTTGTGATATACACAATGTAAATTATATGACAATGAATTTCATCAATTTAAACAATGCTGAAAAGTTCATGCATATTTTGAAAAATATAAAACTAAAATGGCTGACAACCTGAACTGCATCTAAATGGTATCAGAAAGGAATGATGGGGAATATTTAACTACAGTATCCACACTAGTGCCAAACAAACATTTTACAGATTGCTCGCAGTGTATTGCTTGTTCTTATATAACACGTATAACACAGTATTGTATAAAATCACTCTACTATACCTGACCCCTAGAAATGCATAAGATACTCTGTTTGTCCAATTGTATTGTTTACTATATTTTTGAAAGTACCTTATTAACATATAATGTCATCCGATAAACCATTCATAAGAAACAGACGCATAAAAACAAATACATAATCATTACTAATAAGCCAATAGGGTTGCTCATGAACACCAAATGCAAGGTATAGTAGAGTGAAAATAGCAACAGATGTTACCATTTGAATTGTAGACTTAGCTGTACCCATGTAGTATGCGCCAAATCGCTTCCAAAGTGGCTTAGTTAGTCTAAACCGATGTTGAGGTAGATTACTAAGAAGTGGCCCATAGTCATTATAGATTGGTTGATTGACTTTTCATTTTCACTTGTCTGCAGTTAAAAAGGTGACACGAAAGGGCTAAACGGCTTGCCCCAAGGTGCAACCGTCAAAAATATGAGTTTGAAAAAAATCATGTCTTTCAAATGATAGCAGTGAGTATATGAAATAGGAGGCATATTTGATATTGATATGTATGATAGTCTATTTGGGTGTGGTCATTTTTATTAAAAACAATAATGGTGAAGAATTATATATTGCTGACCTTGAAATGCCATTTTAATTCAAAAGTCACTGTTGCTAATGATAGTATTCCTATTTTACTTATTCAATGTTTTCTAAATGTTTCAATTACCATTATGTTAGTTTTTGGCTAAGTAAATAATTATAGGGGTCACACAAGGATCCACTTTATTTACAACATTTTTATATTTAGTGATGATTTAAAAAAAATACTAAGTTTAACACAATTTTATTTGTTAAATATTAAATAAAATGATGGCATTGTGTTTGTTTCATTGTTTCAACTAAAAATCGCAATTCATTGCTCTTGCTCTTAGAGCTGCAGGGCATATACCAGTACAAAAAGTCTTCAATAAAGTTGATCCTTGTGTGAGCCCTATGATCATTTAATTTGCCAAAAAATGAATATAACGATTATTCAGATAAATAAAAATCCTTTAATAGGTTAAATAGGAATAAAATGATTGACTTTTGAATAAAAATTCATTATACATTTACATATATATGTAGTTGTTGCAGTGAAATTACCACACCAAAGTGGATTATCTTTCCATATTAATATCAAATGGGCCTTCTATTTGCATTTTACTAAAATTATTTGTAACAAAAGTTTATTGTGATAAAGCAAGCAGTGAATGATACTTTTTAGCTTGCAGACAGTGATCTAGTCGAGACATCTTGTAGTAATGGGTGTAACAGTGATGAGGCAGGAATTGATTTTATAAATGCAACTTTTGACAATTCCATTATTATTTGTCCAAAATTCTGCTTGGACGCCAAATTAAAAGATACCGATTTGCATCACATCAAGTTTGATTTGTTCACCGATGTTTGTCAGAGTGATACCTTTAGCAGCTGCACTAGACTGATATGTAACAAGATATATGTGAGCTTTCATTGCAACATTTACATTTAGAACAGTTACAATTTTACTAAGTCTGATAGAGAATTAGATAATTGAAGTATATTTCTTTGAGTTTATTCAATTTGAACATTACTTTTACAATACAGATACCTTCGTTTTGAAACATTAGTAGCAATTTTATTTTGAAACGGTCAGTTTTCAACTTTGAATGTTTCATTTTTGTTCATAAAAAGTGTATTCTAAAAAAGTCAAGGTCATTTCAAGGTAAATGTCAATATTTAGGTAGTTGGCTTTTTAAGACACCTGGCCGTTGATTTGACCCTCCACAACCAATGATTAGGTGACCTGAAGTCAAGGTCTGAATGGATCAAGGAAATTTCAAGGTCAAAGGTCAATATCTAGCAAGTTGACGAGAGAACAATTGTGACCTTTGGCGACCAATGATAAGGTGATTTCAAGGTCAAAGGTCAATATCTAGGTCATAGGTAGTTGGCTACTGTGGGTCTTTAGTAACATTTGATCACCAAAGATAAAGTGACATGCGGTCAATGTCACTGTTTATGGGTCAAGGTCATCTCAAGGTCAGAGGTCAATATCTGAATATTTGGCATTTTGGGGATGCTGCTTCATGTGAGGACCCATTGATATGTGTTCTGAGGTCAAGGTCATTCCTACAAGGTCAAAATCTCTGTATTTGGCATTTTGAGGCCCCGGGGGCTGCTATAACCCTTGACAACTCATGCTAAGGTGACATGAGATCAATATCTTGGTAGTTGGCTCGTTTGAGGGTACACTGACATTTGATCACCAATGATGAAGTGACCTGAGATCAGTGTCATTGTTATAGGTCAAGGTCAAAGATCAATATCTAAATATTTGGCATTTTGGGGCGGCTGCTGCACTTGACTCCATTGAAACGTGTTCTGAGGTCAAGGTCAATCTAAGGTCAAATTTCAGAAAATTTAGTGTTTGGCGTTTTAAGACCACAGGGGCTGCTGGCATGATGTGGCCCTTGGCGACTCATGATAAGGTGACATGAGGTCAGTCATCATTTAATGGTTCAATTCGAGATCATCTCAAGGTCAAGGTCAATATCTAGGTATTGGTGTTTCAAGGCACTCGGGGGATGCTGTGACGCTTGGTGACTCATTACTAGGCGACTTGGGGTCAAAGTCATTACTGATGGGTCATGTCAATTCAAGGTCAAAAGTCAATATCTAGGTATTAAGCCTTTTAAGGCATTTGGGCTAGTTCATCCCATGCATCAGAAAAGGTCACAAGTCAATAGCCAGGTATTTGCAATTATTTTTAAGGCCATGTGGGGCTGCTGTGACCGACCCGAACAGTAGATTGCTAGTATTATTAAAGATACACAAGAATATGGCGGGAGGGTGGCAAAATCGTCTATTTGCTTTAATATTCAAATATGGTACTCTGTAAGGACCTGAGGGTTCCTTCGGGGAGTTGCGTGTTAATGCTCTGTGTCGGAACAAAACCTAGTACCTTCTAGTCTAGATTCTGATGCTCTACTTCCTGAACTAGCAGCCACGCTACAATTCCATTAAAAAGAAAACATGTAGCGATATTGTTTTGATATTGTTATGATACAATTTGGTACTTCTGACTATATAATGCTTTTTTACTCAAAAGTCAATAAATATTTTTCTTATTTTGACTATCAAATGATTTTCATATATCCGAATAACCATTATATTAGTTTTTGGCAAAGTAAATAATAGTAGGGATCACACAAGGATCGACTGTATTGAAGATTGGTCATACTGGTATATGCCCTGCCGCTCTAAGATCAAGAGCAATGAATTGTGATTTTTCAGTTGAAACAACGAAACAAACACATAATCATTATTTTGTTTAACATTTAACAAATAATTTTCTGTTAAACGTAGTAATTTTTCAAAACATCACTAAATATGAAAAAGTTGTATATAAAGTGGATCCTTGTGTGAGCCCTATAATTATTTACTTTGCCAAAAATGAATATAATGGTAAGTGTAATATATAGAAAACATTGAATAGGTAAAATAGGAATACTATCATTAGCAACAGTGAATTTTGCATTAAAATGGCATTTTAAGGTCAGAAATGTATAATTCTTCAATATTATTGTTTTTAATAAAAATGACCACACCCAAATGGACTATCATACATATCAATATCAAATTTGCCTCCTATTTCACATACTCGCTGCTATTATTTGAAATAAAGGTTTTGTCAAACTCATCTTTTTGACGGTTGCACCTTGGGGCAAGCCGTTTAGCCCTTTCGTGTCACTTTTTTGAGTGCAGACAAGTAAAAATGAATAGTCAATGAACCAATATATAATGTCTATGGGTCAAATCATAGTAACCTACCTCAACATCAGTTAATGGGATTTTCTGGAGTTTTGGCGCACACTAATGTACATAGTATTTGTGGATAATGCAATAAACAAATAAACTTAAAATACGTAGTGTAAATACGTCAAGCGAATAGACATACTGTTACAGCGGATATCAATGCATATCGTTCACCTTGAACGACGAAGCAATTATTGAAATGCATACACTCAAACACTGATAAAATTAAAGATGGGGAATGAGCTGTCTTTCGATAATGCGAGTGGAGAAGTGCCACCCTCCCTACTGCGGGTCTTAGGGATTAATATCGATTCCCAAGATAACGTTGACGAAACATCAAATTGGACTTCACCTGTTGATCTTGACTATGTAATCGAAAATGATGAACTAATAGTTAAAGAGAGTAATTTTGGTGATGGCTTTGTAGTACTAGATGTAGCTAAACGGAATGCGACTGCACAGCCTAACATTAACAATATAAAAGCAGACACGCCTACTGAAACCTTATATGACAAAAGTAAAAGTTCTGGTGATGGTTTTGCAGAAATAGATGCAAATAAAGGGAGTGCGACTGAATCGCTAAACAATAGTAATAATTCAAAAGCAGACGCGCCTATTGAAACCATATATGACAAAAGTAAAAGTTCTGGTGATCATTTTGTAACCAAATATGACAACTTTGTCGGTTTACAAAATGGCAAAAACAAAACTAAACAAAGAAATCGTAAAGGTCATCGACAAAAACAATCTGTAAAAGTTGCGACGCCAAATACTATTGACAATGGTATTGATTTCAATGGGAACGATGGAGAAAACAACAACAGATGTAGTGCAACTGAGGAAAAGCGTGAAGGTAAAGGTTCTCTCTCTGAGTAGTTTTGTTCAGTGCATCCCTTCTTTGTCACTGCAGACAATCAATCAGGTCAATCGAGTGTCCCAAAAATCTTGGTGAAATTAAAACTGGTTAGATCTCGATAATCTTTCCTGCATTCCTTATCAAACGTCATGGTTCATGATCAATTATTCTGATATGACAACCTTTATCGAGAAGAAAGTCCGGACAATCAAAAGTATCCATCGGTAACTATAGCAATGGTTGAAATTGACGCAAGTATATTGATTACTTCTACATTCCTCTCTACAGACGTTCTTCATTGATATTTGAAAGGACGATTCTCGGTTTGGAGAACTAAGTTCATCAATCTAAATGAGCATTATCCCTGCTTCGGACATATTTGATTTTTTTACATAACATAGATTTGAATGTCTTCTTTTGAATAGTCATAATTTAATTTGGGTAATATTTCTAGATTTTTCGCAAAAAAAATATTAGCGCAGTACACTGATGAACTTCTTTCCCCAAATCGAGACTTGTATTTTATTGAATCTGTCTAATTGAGCGTTATCCCTGCTTCAGACCTATTTGTTATTTTTACATCTTGTAGATTTAAATGTCCTCTTTTGAATATTCATAGTTTAATTTGGGTAATATTTCTATATTTTTCATTAAAAAAATCATTAGCCCAGGAGACTGTTCTCCAAACCGAGAATCGTCCTTTCAAAGATATATACACCATTAAAGGTGTCATGTTCTCATAAAAAAAAAATAATAGTAACTTTCAATAACCCAGATGCCAGTGCAGTGTGTAGTTTCCAGTTTCACCACCAGGTGGCCGATTCGGGTCAGATAGCATGGCAGACATAGTAGAACGTTGCCTACATTGCCTGAATATTTGTCAGTTAAAGTGGATCAGTTTTGTAAATGAATATGTCTTGTACTGTAAAAGAAAATATTATGTCTGACACAAAGAAAACATATTTCACTTTTTGTTATTTCACAACATCACAGGAATGGATCAAACAGCACTCTCCGTTTAAATCAGCATTTTTAGCACATTTTCACCATACGATCCGGTAAAAATCGCACTTTGGGGTAAAAACCACGTACAGGTGATAAAACTAAATCACAATTTACAATAATCATCTGATCTATTTAAAGTGTATTCAGTTGAATCACATATTTACCGACCCTGTTGGCCTCTACAATTATGTATGTGACTGCTCACAAAAATGTATCAAATGGTTTATTAAGCCTTAATGTAATTTTGCTTGCCTACTGTAGCTAAATAATGTACTCCCCTCCATAAGTTTGGCAACCTTAGCTCCCCCATTGAACTATGTGTTAAAGCCTCTTTACTTTTGAATTTTTATTTACTTAAACCGCGAAGAAAATACTTATACTATTGATTGAAACGTAATTTGACTTTATTTCTTATACCTCCGATTTTTTTTCTATTTTTTCTCAATTACAAGAGGTCGAAAATTGATGATAAATTTGAAAATTTTTTAAGATTGACATTCCCATGTTAACCAATGGAAAATGGTAGGTTTGCCGCAAGTCATATAACAGAATATCCATCACTCCGAGTCCTTGCAAAAAATACAAGTTAGGTAGGCAATTGAATTTGCTAACTTTATTTAACAAATAATTGATACCTTTCTTCAGGATCAGGAAATTATTTTTCAAAAAACCTCTCCCATTGAAATAACACAGGAGGCGAAAAATGATTTTCAAAAATGACTTTGAAGCTCTGTAACTTTAGTATTCATCAAGTAAGCTGAACATTTAGTGCACAAAAAAAGTTAGACAATTCAATTTTCTATATAAAATTTTTTTTTACTGAATCTTTTACTGAATAAATATCCTGATTTCTGATTTCCTCGAACCCTCCATTTCCCATTGGTTTACATGTGAATGGCGATTTTCAAAAATTCGCTCAAATTTATCATCAATTTTCAACCTATTGTAATCGAGGAAAGAGATTGGGAAAATTTGAAGGTATTGGACATAAAGTCAAGTTAAGTTTCCATCAATACTATAAGTTATTTCATCGCAGGTTAAGTGAATAAAAATTCAAACGTAAAGAGGCTTTAACACGTAGTTCAAAGGGGAAGCTAAGGTTGCCAAACTTATGGAGGGGAGTGTATAGATTTCAAAATAAAACTAGGGGTGCTCCCGCTGTCAAAACATAAATGATTAAGTAAATTCAAAACGAAGACTAAACGGTCAAGCCAAGTAACTTAGTCAACATTCGATATTCGTATGTTCATCAATATTAATTAAGAATGGTGCCACAATTGAAGTAAACCTCTGTTAAATTATTTCTAATAAACCTTTCAGCAAACGTGTAAATGATTATTTTGATGTTCTGTTACATATTGATGAAGCAATCTTGGGGAAATGGCCTAAATTTCTGAATTTCCACTATGTCCCTGTATACCCCTACTTCAAAAGATGTATGTTATTTGTCATTTTTCATTATGAATCAACCATAAATGTATCTTTTCTTGTTTACATACAGAATGAACTTCTGTTTTCAAATATTGATAGATTTTTTTTTTTTTTTATAAAATCAAACTTTATTAATAAACATATTTTACATTACATGCATAAGATAAAATACAATTATAGAAATTTCAAGTTACATTACATCTTTCTGATCATTATTTCATTATCAAAAATAGCTTTTACATTACTAGCTGTATTGACCCTTTTTTTAAAATCATGTATAGCTTTTTTAATTACCAATGTTTTAAGTAAATCTTCTTTTTTAACCATTGCATTTCCAATTTTTTGATCATTTGTAACATTTACATCATTCCAAATTGATTTAATACGGTCACAATTGATAAAGAAGTGGTCAATGTCATCTTTTACATGTGCGTTACAAAAGTTACAGATGTCAGAGTTTTCAATGTTACATTTCTTCAAATAAATATTTTGAGGGTAAATACCTTGTAAAATTTTCCATTGAATTACCAAAAGGGTAGTATCGGTTGTACATTCAAAAAATTGAGACCAGACTTTATCGTTTAGAATCTCACCATTAAATTTTATGTCACATTTTCTCTCTAAAACAATTTTTGTTCTCACAATTCTTGTGTTTAAAAGATGGCTATTGATAGATGGTACTGCATTTATTTTTTCATGATATGGAGCAAACAAATGCGTGTCAATTTATACTGTAATATCCACATACTTATATTTCAAGGGTAGTTTTGAAGAATAATCAAGAAAATCCATGTTTTCAAATTAATTCATCCTTGTCAAGGAACGTTTGTGAGGATATGCGGTTTAAAAAACTAACAACATGTTTTAAGTTCTTACAATTCTTGATTGAAACAAATATTTCGAAAGTTGTGATTTCGAATGTAATATCCAACTCAATGAAATTTGTTGATATTTGTGATTTTTTTCTTTCGGAATGCACATTGCTGGATCACAGAACCGTGCCTTGTTCGTAATGCACGAAAAGTGTATTGTTAATACTTGACGTCGTTTGGAAATTTGGATGTGATTGACGTTTTCGTTAATCTCCAACCACTGTCACTTCCAACTTAATTTTTGAAAGCCAAATATGATAGTCACGAATTGATATTTAAGTCACACGTTGATGCATACATCATGTGTGTACATTAACGGTCGAATAAATGCCGACTTATATCTTTTTGATAAATATGGATTGTGTATTACTTTTAAATGAATTAATTAAGGATTCAGTCAAGTATATTGAGTGCAGCTGTGACTGCAATATGGGTGTACACTTTTGAATTTTCATTTTCTGATTTTTGGTCATTCATGACACCCATAGTGTCACTTTTAGCCTCTCACTTCACAATAATACAAAGGTTTCTCAATTGGATGGTGTCATATTGTTAGGAAATGATTTATCTTTAAAATGATATGAGCCTGGCTACAGAGCCAAAAATGTGCCCACGATTAAGAGGAAAATGTGTTAAATTCAGATCCGACTTTTTGGTCTATATATGCAAGGAAGAATTCTTAGGACATAAGCCATGGCTCATTTGAAAGGTTTCTTTGTGCTTTTTAAGATAAACAAAAAATCAGAATATTGAAAAATCTGTGATAAGACCCCTTTTCCCGTGGCCTGGCTCATATATAAATACATGTCATTGTTTAAGATACATATTATGAATAATTTATCTTTCAATTTTGGTATTTTTTGACCCACCCTGTATATAGTATATACCAATATATGTATATACTTATACCCTTGACACGTGTTTACGTCTATTGAACCTGTCATTTTTTCATCGTATTTTTTAAACTTTAACTTATTTAGTACTTGCCGCCTATAAGAGCATGTCTAATAAATATCGTTTCGCTTTTAAAGCTATATATATACATATGCCAAGTTTGTATATTATTTTGAAAAACTGCATGTAGAACATCCTAAACTTTAACGCTTATAGTTGATACAAACTTTAACGTTAATACAAACAGGTCAAGCGAATATACATGCTATTGCACTGTATATCAACGCATACTGTTCACCTCGGACGACGAATGCGAACATTTTGATCAAATTAAAGATGGGGAATGAACAGTCTTCAGAAGATGCGAGTGGAATCGTACCACCATCCGTACGTCGGATCTTTAGGATTAATAGCAATGGTCAAGAGGGAGTTGACGAGACCTCAACTTGTACTTCACCTGTTGATATTGATTATGTAATCGAAAATGATGAAATAATAGTAAAAGAGAGTAATTCTGGTGATGATTGTGTAGTACGAGATGCAGCTAAAGGAAATGCGACCGAATCACCAAACAATGTTAATAATGCAAAAGCAGACACGACTGCTGAAACCATATATGACAAAAGTAAAAGTTCTGGTGATAATTTTGCAGAAATAGATGCAAGTAAAGGGAGAGCGACTGAATCGGCAAACAACATTAATAGTTCAAAAGCAGACACGCCTATTGAAACCATACATGACAAAAGTAAAAGTTCTGGTGATCGTTTTGCATTACTGGATGCGGCTAAAGGAAAT